ATACTTCACTTTTAGATTTTTTTTTTTTTGTTGTACGACAACAATTAAAATAAATAACTTCCATAGATCTGTGACTGACAAACAACGATAAAACACAGTATCAACATAATGCACAACATAGTACAAGAGTTAAAACGACAGCCCTTACAAAAAGGAAATAAATAAAGTAAGATCAGACGATTCAGTGTCGCTCTTGCCGCAGCTGCTCAAACTTACAATATAAATTGTCTAATTTATCCCTTTGTGAAGCAACAAGGTCCATTGCTCCATCAACAAAAGCATCCATATCGTATCCTATCATAGAAGTATACTTTAAAAGTGAAGCTGCTTCAACCTTCCACTTATCATAATCCTGAAAAAACTTCGGGTTCCTCAGAAAAACAGCTTGAAGAAATTTGAAACCAAAACAGGAAAAAATTGCATCTAGTTTAAAAACTAACCTCAACCAACGACCTAAAGTCATCCACAACAAATTCTTCATTTCTAACAATACTGTTCACTGTTGTCCTGCGAACCTTATAATCACCGTCATTTACATCCTGAAAAAAAGCATGTTAGTACAACTTAAAAAGATACACTATACTACTGCAATTCAATTTGCAAAATTACATTTCTCCTTTGAACAACATCGAAATCATCTTCATCGTTGCTCAACATTAACTCATCGTCATCCATAGGAGGATTAGAACCGTCTTCTGCCCCTAATTCCTTCACACTAAATTAAAACTTAATTACAGTTTGCTACTTAGTGAGCTAGTTGTCTATCCACAGCAAACAAAAAAACAAATGCACACCAGAGCTCCAGTTTTCCCCATACCACAACTGATACATTTAATAGCAAATTTCAAAACCCATGCAATAAAATAAACCGACCGGTCCGCATAACGAAGAGTGTTCAATGTGTGCTCACAGGACCCCATCCCAGGGCTAATCATTGCGATCTGAAGTTTAAATTAATTAAAAGAACTTTGAGTAACTGTACTAGAAACAAAAAGTTATTCAATAAAAATCTATTAGGCACTAGAAAATTTCCTAATAAGTGATACCAACCATGCATGTTCTCGCATTCGAGCCAATAAAACTATCTCGTAAAACAAGCGTCAGCTTCGAAGCTCGAAAGGGGACATGAGCTGAATTCCTTCCCATCGCTCTGTATAGGGAAGTACGCAAAATTAATTTTTTAAGTATTATAATTTACCAAAATAACGTCATAAACTCTGGTAATTTTCCAACCCAGAAAAAGAGATTTAACTTCTGCACAAAAACAATTAAAAAATGCATAGAACCTTTCTGCAACGCAAAAGTAGTTTTCTCCTTAAGCACAAAAAAACCTCACAAACCTAATACATTCCTTCAAAGCCAACAAAGACTTGTTGATCTCCGCACCTTCCAGCCTGGTCTGTTTGTCTGAGCTTATAGTATCTACGCCACGTTCATTGCCGGCCAAATCAATTAAAGAGAACTTCCCCCACACACGGCCTGCTGCATCCTTAGCAGCCCTGATAAACAATTCAGAATTCATGTAAACTACAGCACATGTAATCTCAGTTAAGTGGAAAACCGTGACTGCCTGAAGTACAATGCCAGGCAAATCTACACAGTCTCAAAGAGAAGCACCGAGTACTAACAAGACTGACATAGCTGGTAATAAAAACTTTAAAACCCCTCAACCGAACTCACTTTTTACGTAGGATTATTTGGAAAACAGCGTGGGATCTCGACGAATTTGAATTTGCCGAAGTCGTTCCAGCAGTTCTTACGTCAGTTCCTTTTTTAATTAAATCAAGAACCTAAACTGTGACATCCATGTACTTTCAAAAGCCTCCAAAAATATCCTAAACTTACATCGCATTCACTAGATACTTGCACCTCTTGCAAACCGACAACCTGCACTTCCTTTTTACCATCTTCATATACTCGTAACATCGTTTTATTGTCTAATAAGTCAAACACCTGAAACACAAATCAAAAATAACTGCGTTGTAGTGCCATAAACAACTTTGAAATGAGAACTATTATGATTAAATGACAAACGACAGAGGATGTTACCAACAAAAAAACATCAATTTCAAGAAAAGTTACTAAAAGTCCTAGCAAAACCCAAAAAACTTACTTTCCCACCATATATTTCAAAGAAGCTACAATAAACATCCAACCGTTCTTTCCGATACTCCTTATTCAACATTTTGAACACATCCCTTGCAGTCAGCGCATAGATACCCTTTGAGCAATCCTGTAAAATAAGTTTGCTTCAGATGTAGGATGAAAAAATTGATCAGCAAGCCAAAATACAGGCCTTTGAAATTCTTAAACTAAGTCTCAAATCATTCTTCACTTTCTCAGTGCACTTCTAGTACTACTATTTAATGCTGTACAGTCAGCGCTACAAAAAAGAATAGGCGTGCATAAATCGTCATAAATAAGTTACTTTCCTGGATCTTTTTTAACAAATGCCAAAAAAATGTTTTTTGGGACTACCATAGTCTGTTTTAAAAAAGCAGTTCCAAAAATAAAAGTGAGATGAAAAACGTTTTCTTTTAAAAATTTGGGAAAAAACCTAGTATTTTCAAGCTAATTTCGCATAATTTCAAATAAAAGTCTACAGCCTCAGTTTTCATAAGCAGGCAAATTAAAGCAAAAACGCTAAACAAAAACATTTTGCACAAACGCCATAATTGTTAGGCAGAACAATGCAGCTTAAATGAAATTAAGAGGTTAACAGAAGAAATGAACGACGAATAGAGAAAAAAAATGAAAAAAAACAAACCTGTGCTTTCCCAGAAAATGTTCCACCCATAGTATGAGTTTTTCCGGAACCGGTTTGTCCATATGCAAAACAGGTGGCAAAACCCTTTTCAAATACAGTTTTGACGAGCGGTTGGGCTGTAAAACTGAAAAGTAAAATTACATTAACCAGAGGCTGCAAAACAGACTAAAATAAAAAAACGTACCGATATACCATCTCGTTACTCGCATTCTCATCAAAAGCATAATCGAATCGAAATTTCTGGTCTTCTAGGTATTTTGTCAAATCGACTTTGACTTGTGGTTGCAAAACAATAACATGGTCACGATTTGGAATGGTGATAACCTTTAAAAGACAATAAACTAGCCTCTAATTATTAACAAACAAAACTGTAGTGCAACTATTCCATCAACAAAAGTTCAAGCTCAACTATTTCACAAACGCAAAACTAATACTGCTGCCAATAAAAAGTTTTTACAAAAAATAATTCAGAGATTCAGCGGTAGTATAAACAAACAGTTTCAGGAGAAAGGTGAAAATTTCAAAAGAACAACAGCCTTGAAGCAAAAATGAGCAAACGTCAACTAATAACTAGTAAAATATCTCAGAAATTTCTGCAGAACTAACCTCGATTTCTCTCTTTTTAATTTCCCCGCGATTCAAGGGTCGTTTTCGGACGCAAACACATATTTTTTTATCAGCTACCTAAAGTAAATCCTGAATCACTGTAAAAAAAATAAACTGATTCATCTTTGCAGCAAAACCACTACGTAATAAAATCCCGCACTACAGTTTTACGAATCAAACAGAGAGTGAAAACCATGACGGAGCAGTGCCTCTAAAACGTAACAATTAAGTGGAACTAATACCATGCTCTTTCTCAAACAACAACAACAACAACAAAAAGACACTGACTTTTAGTTTTTTATTCAAACGCCACCAATCAAAAAAGTGAAAAAAAAGTATTAAATTTCAAAACAAAGTGCTTCCTGTTTAAGAGGCCACATGAATTCAACCAAGACAAAGATTTCGAAACAATAAATAACAGAAGTAAAACAATGCCGATAATGGATAACCTGATCAGTAATTTTTAGTGGACGGAAGTCTAATCGAGATTGGTAATCACGAATCATCGAAAGAAACTGCCAGTTAGGATTGCCTGGATCTATATTCTTCATCTGCTCTTTTTGCTTCTTAGCTTCTTCCTAGAAAATTCTGCGTATATCTAATCATAAACTATAATAAGTAAAATACAGAAGCAAAGAAAAATTTAAACCTGTTGAGCTCGCCTTTCCTCTCTATTTTTCTGTAGCCGCTCGATTTCCTGTACTGTCGTGCTTTTCGAAGCTGGCTGTACAGCAGGTTTTGAAGGCTCAACTCGAAGTGTTTCATCGACTTAAACGCTGTTTTAGTGATAGCAAGCAACAGTAACTGAACCAATAATAAATGGATCAAAATACTCCCAATAAAAAGCAATAAGTTTAGGAATCAAGAAATCTCCAATACTATCCAACTTTAAAAAAATCTTTATAATACCAATTTCATTCTGATCCGCAATATGGGGATCCAAAGTAAATCGTTGCTTCTGCTGCTGTGGTTTAACAAGCAAATGACTTGACCGCGTTTGTCTCGTCAAACCATTCATATGAGAAGCACGAGACACTAACCCGTTTCCATTATCACTTGAAATTGAAGTAGTATCCGTCGGATGTGTAACGTACATACTACGTCTATTACCACACGCTAAAAAACTGAAGTTGCCACACAGCTTTTGAAAATATACCAATAAAAATAAACGATAAAAAAATATTTATAACCACCATAAACAGAAGGATGTAGTAAGGCAGACAGATTAATTAGTGATAGAGAACTAAAAAAAACTAACATCCATTCACAAACGGCTGCCGTAACTGCACCTTATTTATAGGGACAGTTACTTCCTCACTGTTAAGTCCATATAAAGAGGTTGACGGATGTGTGGCAAGAGTAGGATTGATAGCAAGAAGAGTATTAAGATCAACTTCTTTTCCTTTTGTTTCCCCCTAAATTAAGCATCGCTATAGCAGCACTTTTCATAGTGAATAGAAGGGAAAATAAAACATAGAAGCTCCCATGCGAATCTCACTCTAACAAAAAAAAATCTGTACAGCCCCGCACCTCTGTTTCTGTAGCCAACCTATATCTTCTCAAAGGTACTAAGAAAAAAAGTAACTGAGTTAATGAAACGCTGGAGTAGCTGTTCAAGAGAATTAACAATAAAAAGTTTTCAGGTTTTGTACTAAAATACTTTACACTAATGAGATGAAAGTGCATCTACCTGGGGAAGAAAGCTAGCAAAATTGTTAAATGCAAAAGAATGTGCTAGAATGCTGTTTAAAAAGGATTTTCAGCTGAAGATCTTCTACTTCGTTACTAAAGTCCCAAAAAACTTTTACTTTGAAAATTAAAATGAAGACTTCCATTAAACGCTCCAAGCGCATCACAAAAATTTCAGTTTGTAGAAATAAAAAGGACCTTTCTGAATACCAAAAAAAAAGCTTTGATTCCTAACAGACAAAGAGCAAAAACAGAACTATGTACATGCCTCAGCCATTCGTTGTGGCTTGCCACAAATGTATGGCGTACGAACAGTAAGCGCTTTATACGAAAAGAGTGCTTCCTCAGTGATAACAACGCCTGAAACTGAGTTAAGCTCAGTCTTCAGATTCCAACTCATTTGTGCCTCTAATATTCAATAAATGTAAGTTTTGTGAGCTACTGTTTAAGGCGTATTTAAAAGCCAAGCTTGTTTCAAAGTACGTCGATCAATAGAGCTGCTAAAGTGAGCTCTAAACTATGCATGAGACAACTTATCCTTTGCAAACATGCAAGGGATATCGCATTGTCTTTTAGATCAAGTTCGCGCAGCGTTGAAGCGAGCGACAAACAGCATGAGTCATAGATTCAAGGCTCCCTAAAATCCTTTATCAACCAATGTACAGCTGATTCAAATTAACTGCTTCTTACCTCCTTAGTAGCATACTCAAAATCAACCTTACTAATTATAAGCCACCTAATGAATAAAGAAAGAAAACCATCTAAATTGAAAAGAATACAACGTCAAACTTACATTTTCAAACCATTCAACGGTTACAGACTGCGACTCCTTCCGTACTTCACTGATAACAGCATTGTGAACACGGCCGTCCGATCGGCGGATGTCAACATGCATGCCAACACTGACCCTATCCATTATCACAAATTTTTGGAAGTAGAAAAGGCTCTTTCCCCTGAAATTTACAAAACTGTTAATAAAAACTTTTAACGTACAGAGTTTTTGAATTAACTTATAAGGCCATTGCTTCACAGCGCTAAAGACTCACAAACCAAATAAAATAAAAAATTAAATATAAAATGAATTATATAAAAACCCGAAAATAATACACGTTGACATACCTATCAAAGTGCTAGTAAAAAAATACTGACAACGCATTTTTGCACTTAAAAATGATCAAGTTAATTTTAATAAAGCAACAGCAATAATCCCTCTCCAATATGCACTGGCAACAAAAATTTCGCGACCATTGCAAAGTAAATTTGTTCACCGCACGCCTTATACAAACAAAAGTTTTTTTTTTTTTAATCCGATAGAAGCATCACGGAGAATAAGCAAGGAAATCTTTTGGAGATTACTGAACTTCAAAGCTAAT